AATAATAATAATAATAATAATAATAATAATAATACCACCACCAGAAGTTGTTCTAGGGTTGAACCTAGCTTGAATCCACTGCTATCACTTCAGTTAGCACAGTCTGGATTCTTCTTCAAATCCCAAATTAGGCACCAGAAAAATGTTCTGTGATGAAATTATCCACATCAATAAAAACATGAACATACTTATTCTTCCCAAAACCGTTCCCACGTAGATGCTTTATTCTTAAGGCTATGGTTGGATTTTAACTGGATTAGTATTTTTGACAAGTGGTCAAGTAATAACAGAAAAAGGACTATATGCTACGGAACTGAGACAGATAACAATCCTGAGGACAATTTACAGACACTCTTGTACATTTCAGGTGACTCTAAGCTAGGCAGGCTGTAACCTTCTTCTTTCTCAGCAAAAACCAAGGGAATTAAGGATCCACATCACGTATGTCACATTGCACCTGAAATTCTGCGCAGAATGAATTTTACTAAGGGGCAGTAAAATGGAAGAATTTCCCTTACTATTTTAAAGAACAGAAAGATGGCTCAAATCCATATATTGGGAAATCCATGGTTTTAAAACAACAAACAACAACAACAGATAATGAACTAACGCCTCCTTGCAGGAATGCTCCTTTAAATTTCAGATGCAATGTGACATACATGATGTGGATCCTTAATTCCCTTAGTTTCTGCTGAGAAAACAATGTGGAAAAAATGGTGGTTAAAGTATATTAACACCCAATCTATTCTGAGCAGGCAAGACAGGTGAGGGATGGAAATATACTATTTCTTCCATTCTAAGACACACTATTTTCCCTATATAAATATCTATAAAAATGGTGTGTGTGTGTGTGTGGTATTATTATTATTATTATTATTATTATTATTTTGTGGTGGTGGTACTGAAATTAGAGTGCATCTTACAATCGAAGAATACAATATATGGAAATCAGTTCCCAATCTAAAACAGAACAAGGAGCTGATAATTTATTATCGATAGTGAGAGAAATAAGGTTGAACACTGTAAAAGCCATCCACTGCATGGCTACCAGCCTCCTCCCAAATCAAGAGAAAGCTTCATGAGAACCACCAACCCTCTTAACATTCCCCAAGTAATAGCAAGAGTATCCCTCCGGGCATATAAACCAGGAAATCCTAACTGGATGGCTTCCCACGACGGTCTGCTTCCAGGGGCAAACCAAGAACGGGCAACTTGGAAGTCCATGAACAGACTCAGAAGTTGGAAGATCAAAAGACAACCTGGAAAAATGGCACTACCTAAAAGAATCCTCCACCTTGTGTGACTGTGGAGCAGAACAAGCAACTTCACACCTGTATGCTTGTCCATAATGCCCTGCCTCATGCAAGGAGGAATAATTGTTTAAAGCTACAGACAATGCGGTTGCTGTTGCCTGTTTTTGGTCTAAAATTATTTAGCTGTTTGTGCTTCCTTTATTTTATCAGTTTTATACATATTTATACAATGCTTTTGATACGAAATAAATAAATAAAGATAGTTAAGAAATCTAGAACAGAAGAGATAAATCCTGTAAAACTAAATTAACCTGGTTAACCCTAGGACCACCTTTTCCAACCCTAGAGAGCTAAAGGACCCCAACAGTACTTCCCACTAGTGAACTGCTTTAAAAGACATGTTGGATAAAGTGGATGGTCAAAGCAGATCACAAAAGCAATGCCTGTGCTACGCTACAAGAGTTATTAATCAATGCATTGGTAATGCAACGCACAGGTCTCCCATCTTCTGGGCAACGAAAACTACAGCCATAGCTTTTGTGCTTTCATTGATAGGCATTTGATTCTCTGCAATAAATAACTGCATCATGTTCGGAAGCCGATTAGGTCTCCTAAATATGTTCTGAAACCCACGTCAACATTAATTACTCTGCGAGGTCAGTAATGAAAAGATAAGAGCACCCCTCACTTCCCCAATCAAGGACAACCTTGCCGCACAGAAAATGTGAAGCCAATTTTTGCACAACTGCTTGTACTAAATTAAGCGAACATTGTAAGGATTGACAAAGGGAGAGAGAGATGGTCTGTGGGAAAGAGAAAGATTAGACCACATTGGGAAAACAGGGAGCCAGGGACTCTGATGATGTCAAACAAGTCATTTGGAAATGAGTGGCTGGTCATGCATCAAACAAAGCCAATTGAATAAACCAAGCACTGCAGAAAATGACAGTAGCAATGATATTAGTAGAAACACTGATATTAATGTCACTGAGTACAGGAACCACAGAGTGCAGACCCAAAGCTCATATGGTAAATGATTCCATGATTCCATGCTGGCATGTTGGCCCTTTCATTAAGGATGTAAGGCGATTCCTTCCTAATCAGACCAGGGCCTATTTAATTCAGTATCCCACTTCTCTCAACAGCCAACCAGATGTCTATTGGAAGCCCATAAACTGGAGAGGAGGTCAATAGCTCGCTTTCTCAGTTGCTTACAAGCAACAATATTGCTTCTGGTCCTGGAAATTGGATAGTTATCATGACTACTTGCATTTTTCATTAATATGTTGATTCCTTTTTCAACCTAGTACAAGTTGGTGGCCTACATTTTATAGTAGTGAATCCTATGGTTCAATTATGCATTGTGAAACAAAATACTTCCTTTCATTCATCTTGATCCTCCTGTCAATTGCCCTTATTAAATGGTCTTAGTTCTAGAGTTATAAAACACTGGACCAGTTGGCAACTTGCAGTCTTTCAGATATTGTTGGACTGCATTGTCTATAATCCCTCACATATGGTAGTTCCTGATAATGTTGATGGGAGTTGTAAACCAACATTTGGAGGGTCATCCTTGCATGTAGACCAGCATTGACCATTAATGTATTTTGTATTTAGATGGATGCCATTGGATGCCATGTCCCAGACCTGAAGCTAACAGTTACATTCACAAAAGAGGTCTTCTCTGGATCATATTATCCATGTATCAAGGAAAACATCTTACATGCTAAGTGGTGAAGCACATGGCCATCATATTAACCAAAAACAAATTCTTGGAGGAGCTTCCTTACAGCATGAGAAATTGTGTAGTGAGAGAATTCTGATAGAGACATACATATTTTATCAGAAGAAAAAGTTGGACCTGCCAGTGGGGCCACAAGACAAAGAGCCTAAGCATCAGAAGCAAATGAGTAATCTATGGCTTACCAAGCAAGCCCTTTTCACAAGGCTATCAAAAATCTCCAGGCAAAATACTGAGTGGCTCTATGACTATATGGGTACTTTACGTTACTTTACTTTACTTCTATACCGCTGTTCTCAGCCCGGACGCGACTCACAGCAAAGACTAGCACAGGTTGATTTTGCCAAGAAAACTATGGAAGCAAAGGTTTCACGGATGACTTTGTCAAGGAATTTATGGAAGCAAAAGTAAGGTCTATGATACAGAAACAGAAGTGGTGAAATCAAAATAATCTTCATAGGCCCAATACAACTATACTACTGTGCAACAGTGCTTCTCAGGTGACTTGATGTAGGAACCAGTATGTTTTTTTCTAATGTGCCAGAGACTTTTATCCTTTTGGCTACAATTCTGTTTTTCCTACCTAGGGACTCACCACAGATCAGCAGTCAATGGAACATACTGCCACTTTGAGCAGCACTGCAGTACAAGACAGCCCTGACCTGTACCAAATAATTTTCCCAGCCCGTTTTAAAGTTCTATTCTATGAATACCAAAATTCAGCAATACTATCAAGTCTACCAAATCAAACCATCCACATTCTGCTACTCTTTGTTAAATTCCTTTTGTACTCTGAGTTACCCTTACAAGAATCACTACCACCTGCTTTTATTCTTACCCACTATCTACCTCTCTGTCTGTCTCTGGCCCTTTTTAACCTAAATGCTAACCACTGTTCCAAAGATGTATGCCTCCCTTCTCTAGTTATTTTCAAGCAGTATCTTTCAAGAACTGAAATGACCAAGTACAGACAAATGCCTCTTGCCATTCATATAGCAGCTACGACAATAATAAGCAGGACATACTGTTGCTCTGGAATTTAACAGGCATGTTAGGATGGCAGCAAGAGCAGGAAAAATCTAATTCAATAATGATTGTTGAAGCAAGTATTTCTAAAGCCACTAACTTGCTGAAAGCAGTGATTCCCAAGTTCAGACCTACTTTTAAAATGCTGGCACTTGTTGCTCGAGTTTTATAAAAGTAGAGCTTAACTTAACTTTAACTGGCTTCTACTGAGCTCTTGTGAGAACATGTAACATATAAAACAAGAACTGCAAATCTCTCCTTAGCCTGACCTAACTACAAAAATTAAAAACAACTTGGAAAAACCCATAACATTTGCTTTCAGTTTTAATAATCAGATATATTTTGGACGTGGGACACTCATCACTCATACCCTCTTACTAATGCATTTCTCAAACAATACCATGTGTTTTGCATTATTATCTTTCAGCAGTCCAGAAAAAGTTTTCTATACACCAGCATTTGTGAAACTATGTCAGATTGGCCTATTACACAGTTTGAGGGGGTTCCCATCAATGCCTAGATGTCCTGTATGTCAATAAAGATAACCATGAATGACATACCAACCAGTCTATAAGAACACTGAAAGTGATATCCTCAGATGGCAGCAAATTTTGGTGGTAGTGTAAAGAAGGGCAGTGAAACAAACCTATATCAGTCCAGCCTAACAATGTTTTAGCACAGTGGTTCTCTACCTGTGGGTCCCCAGATGTTTTGGCCTTCAACTCCCAGAAATCCTAACAGCTCATAAACTGACTGGGATTTCTGGGAGTTGTAGGCCAAAACACCTGGGGATCCACAGGTAGAGAACCCCTGCTTTAGCAGAAGAGCTCCTGAAACAGGATGAGGTGGGTGGGAGATACTATGTAAGAATAACAGATAAGCTCTCTTCCCCAAAGCTATAAACTTGAAAAGCTTAGGAAAGTAATATAACCCAAAGTGAAGCATTATCCAAGCAGACACACATACACACATCACCACACCTCCATTTCCTTCAGAACAGGATGGTCTTCTATTCCAGGGAAAAGGACTCTCATGGCGTAGGTGCGATAATCCAAGAAGGGAATGCCAGCCCCATCCAAGTCATTGGTCAGTTCATGGATATCAGTCTGCAGCTCAGCAAATGCTGGGAATGAAATAGCGGATATAAACAAGAAACACTGGCAGAATAGTTCCAACTTGCCCTATTAATAACCTGCAGGATGAAATCTAATGGTAGGCCCTTGGGCATCTTAAACGCTATTCAGCTTCATTGTGCCATCAGCAAAAATTAGATCCATATTAAATCAGCAACTTTTCATCTCACAGCGTAGATAAAAAGTCCAGGGATATATATTATAGTGACTGCTTTGGAGCTACAAGAATAGAGCATAATTTATTTATTGATTATTTATTTCCAACATTTCTATCCCGCCCTTCTCAACCCCTGAGGAGGGACTCAAGGCGGCTTACAAACTGGCAGCAGTTCGATGCTGCAAGATAATACAAATATAACAACAGATTAAAACAGTAAATAGAACATTAAGTTAAAAACATGTTTAAAACATTGTCATCAATCCATATAGCCATAACAGAGATCCTAGAAAACTTAGAGAAACTGCAGTAGCCAAACTAGAAGAGATCTCTCCAATGTCATTCAGTTCAATCTCCTGACACCAAAGAATAGATGGCAGGCAGGTGTGAGGCCTGAAGGCTAGTACTCTGGCACAGAATTATCTTTCAGGCTGTGAATATAGAAAGGCAGGGAGAATGACAAAACATCGACATAATTTTTTTGAGAGCACTAGGGAGAGGAAACAGATCGAAGCCACACAAATGTCCTCACTGCATGCTGATTTTATATCTTGTAGCTGGAACAGCCATTTGGTTATCTAGTTTTTGACTGGACTGGAAAGAAGAATGAGAGAAATGCCATCCTATACCTTTAATTGCATCTACAAGGGGAAGCAGATTGTTTGTGTACATGTTCTACTGCAGTACATGGGGGGGGGGATGTGGGGGGGGGGAATCAAATTAATGGCACTTTAAAAGGAAGCTAGAAGCCGCAGAGGGCTGTAGGCTGATCAGTTTGATGAGAAAAAACAAACCGTCAGCTTGAAAGGCACACTATCTTATCTGTAACTAGTGGGACTAGAAAAGAGAAAAGGCAGAGAAGATATTGCGGCTTTTAATTAAAAGCAGATCCTTTTATCTGCCAGCTGTGGAAGACAAGGCAAAAATCTCTTCCACGTACTCCCCCCCTTTTTCGCCAATCCTCTCTGTCACTATTTCTTTCTATCGGGCTATTTTTTTCCCACTTCCCTCTTTTTTTATTATCTCATTTTAGGTGCCCGCTTCTGTCGCAGCCTCTGGGCCAAGTTGGAGTTGGCAGGGTCACAGCCCTAGGCACTGGCTTGTGGTGATAATGGGCAATTAGGTTTTATCAGCAGGATCAGAGGCAGCATTCTGTCCAATTTCTCATCATCTGTCTGTCACATAATGAGAGACCCACAGCCTTTTGCAGGAAAGCAGGCAGGCTTTTCCTTTGCTTTAAAACTTTTCTGTTTAAAACCTTACTAAGTTATCTCCACCATCACTAGAATTGCTTCACCCGACCCCAGTCGCCTTCCAAAGGAGAGCCCACGAAACGGGGAAGTGAGTTTGTAGAAGTACCCAGGACTGCAAGCACAGCCAGAGTGACAGAAAAAGGAATGGACAGTTGGGGGCTGAAGTATAAACATTGTATTGTCAAAGGCTTTCATGGCTGGAATCACTGGGTTGTTGTAGGTTTTTTGGGCTGTATGGCCATGTTCAAGAAGCATTATCTCCTGATGTTTCGCCTGCATCTATGGCAGGCATCCTCAGAGGTTGTGAAGACCTCACAACCTCTGAGGATGCCTGCCACAGATGCAGGCAAAACGTCAGGAGAGAATGCTTCCAGAACATGGCCATACAGCCTGAAAAACCTACAACAATCCAGTATAAACATTGTTTTGGTATTTTAAATCTAAAGCTTAAGGAATTTGAAGATGGGCTGACTCCCCTAACGTATGTGCCTTTCTAGAGAACAGGAAAGCTGCAAAATTATTCATCAGGAGTTGCCAAATCTTAGATCTATTGCCTGAAGATACCAAATTACATTACCCAGGGATTACAGAATCATACAACTGGAAAAAGTACCAACGCTATGCAGCCCAATACCCTGTCATGAATGAATACACAATCAAAACATGCCTGACAGTCATTCAGCCTCTGTTTAATATAGAAATAATAAATAAATAAATAAATAAATAAATAAATAAATAATTATTATTATTATTAACTTTATTCTTGTATCCTGCCACCATCTCCCCGAAGGGACTTGGGGCAGCTTACACATAGCACCAAGTGCCAAAAACAGAACATAACATAAAACACAATTTAACAATACAGTTGAAAAAACATATAGACATATTAAATGACAACTTAAAAACTCAGTTAAAACAGCGCTTATCAACTGGTGGCGTTACGCTACTGTAAACGTGGCCAGGCTGTAAACGATCTGACAGGGAGTGGGAAATGTGCAAAGCTGTAACCATGGGACTAGGGCATGGGATAAAGTGCAAGGCTGCATAACAATTGCAATTACTGTCCAATGAGGATGAATGCAAGACATTTTGTTGTCTTAGGTTAAAGATAAGAATGCACAGCTCCTCCATTAGACACAACAATTGCTGGATGGATTGGCTGTTTCTCTGTTTTAACCCTGGTGACATGACAACATTCTGTACAGCACTTGAGGGCAGTGGAAGACTTCTAGGGTTCAGGACAGACTGTGGAGCACTGCTATGGTATCGAATGCTTTCCCACTGCTCTGTCCCTTTCTGCTTCTGCTGCCAATGGCAGCTGAACAATTCAGTCCAATGATAGGGAAATGGAAGCCATTAACAATGGTGAAATAAGCTATAACTAGAATCCAGCACTATTGTAATTAATTGTAATCATATTTCCATGTTCTTACATGGACCTTGAAGTAATCTAAGATTCCTTCACCTTTTAATGTTTTAAAAGATTTTTTATTATTAGTTTTATTAAACAGTTGTAAACACTGAAAAAAGGTTCTATGTGCATTTAATGAATACATGTATATATTTTATTTTCACCAACAATCCTGTGAACTAAATTAGACTAAGAGGCAGTGACTAAGCCAACCTCCTCCAGTGAATGTGCTTGAGAAGGGCAGCCTTGTGTAAGGATTTGAGTCTTGTAGTTTAGAGCCTTGATTCTGTTAATTCAAAAGGGAAGGATCTGGGACTCATGAGACGTCAGACTTCATCTTTCCATGGTCCCACTCAGCAAAGTCAATGGTTTGGTATGATAAGACTTACAGACTGAAATAGCCAAAAGGCTCAGTACATCACAACAACCCTTGACTGTCATGTTCATCCTATGATTTCATTCTCTTGCTTTTTGTTTTGGTATGCTTACCCTCCTTGCACTCCAAGGCCACACGGGACTCCAAGTTGTCCATCTGCAGCTGGAGACGTTTGAGTGTGCGGTCAGCATCCCGGGACTTCCGTTTGTATGCAATGAGGACAATGATGATGATGAGCAAGAGGAGACCCCCACCCCCTCCAATACCAATTATGGCTGGCAAGGTCAAGAGGTTGTCTGAGTAAATCTGCAGGGTCCCTGGGGAGAATTCAAACCCTCCAGCCTTGATCTGGGAGACAAAGTGAGAAAGAAAGAGCAAACCTCAGCAACTAGGGCCACCTTACTACACAAAAAAGCATTTACATTCCTATCAAATTCCTATCAGTCTATTTTAAAGTCTGGGCTCTTTCTGCTTTCAGGCATAAAGAAGAGATTATAACATTTGCACATTGGGTGGTTGGGATCTCAGCAATCAAGGGAAACATAACTCCAAAGCACTGACAAAACTGCATGCCTAATAATGTTGTTTAAGAACACAGATCCTTCAAAATGCAAAATCAGATGCTTATATGGGGCCATGTGATCTGAACCATCTCTATACAGCATAATGAAAAGGGGGGCATTTTGAAATGCTTCTCAATGATTTCATTTTAAAAGTAAACATTATTCAAAACAGATGCAAGGCAAATATTAAAGAATCTACAAGTATAAAATATTGAGTGAGAAATGGCTTCTATAGATGTTCCCCACCTAGCATACACTGCGGGTATAGTGTTGCAGAAACTGGAAGAAACAAGAAGTTGGGACAATCCCTTTCTGATACTCTGCCCAATGTCCATTACTCTGAAATCTGTTGTGGTATAGGCTTCCTCTGTTGGGAATGGTACCAGAATTTTAAACTTTTCCAGCTGATGGCCTGTGCTATCCTTTTGCCATGGGATAAGTGAACAGCTGCTATCTTCTGCTTTGCAGAATCTGTAATGCCAGTAGGAAAGCAATACTTGCTGTGCAGGACAGTGCACTGCTTAACGACAGAACAGAGGTTCCCAGTTACTCCGAATGTTCATTATAATGGTTATTCCCGTCTTACTAGCTACATCCCAAATATCTCCTACTTAGTGCTAGCAGCAGACTTTGTGAGGAAACCAATGCACGTGTAGGAAGGACAATGGCCAGGCACCACAGGGCTAACTCTCACGTTGCCTGGCCAAGGCGCTTGGAAGAGATTAGATGGGATGCAGACACATGCTGGTGCATTGCCGATGCCTTCAAGGAGCAGGCAGCATGTTTGATGTCTCATTCAAAGAACATTATCATAACAGATGGGATGCTAAGTGCATTCCCTGATGGATGAGACGCCTGGGGAAGGGAATGTTTGGGTCCTTTTCAAATACCGAAGGCCACATAGAGCACCAGAGTGAGTCAGAAGTGCTGCACTGCAGCCTAATGAACAGCTAATCCTCCTTTAGTAGATTCAAAAACTGTTGAGTGGAAGCAGGGAATGATTAAAAAGCAACTTTGCTTTGAGTTACTCTAATTTTCCTTTCCCTTCTAAGGTGAAAAAAGCTGAAATAAGGAACTAGTTATGCCACTAAAGTTGATGCAAAAGATGTCTGCTATGTTTGCTGCAACAGAGTAGTAGGGTTACCTTTCTGGACTACATGGATCTCTTTCTGTACAAAAACCCCACAAACCTTAAATACACAGTACCAAGCTGCTAAAGCAACACAAGCACAAACAAGGACCATGCCTGACACACTTTACCGTCACTTTATGTTGTCCTGTGAGATTTGGTGACTCGCAAAGAAGTTGGGTCTCAGAAACCGTAAGGGCACAAGGAGTGTCGCCAATCAGCACAGTGTAGTTTAGTCGGGAATTCCCAGATGCTGGAGGAACCAGGTTCCGGCCCTTTGAAAAGCAAATGAGAACAACTCTGTATTTACTAGTAGGGTCCCGGCCTCATTGTAATAAGCAACAAGCAGATGCTCTGAATCCAGTTTTCTACTCTAGCAACAATATTTCACTAAACCTAAATATACTAAAGATGACAGTCCCAAGCTCCCCATAATATCCTTGGCTGAATAAGAAAACCATTTGTTGTTCATCCTAAATATGAAGGAGGTATTTGCTAAAATAAATTTATCTTCTCTGCTTTTGACAATTGGAACATGAAAATACAAATATGTTAAAAACATTATTCTAGTATAGAGCCCTAGGTAGCTAGGGTGGGGACTGGTCATTCCACAGAAGAAAACTTGTGATTTGTATCTGCTTTTAAAGTGATGCTAAAGCAGGCATTACCTTGAGGATGAGAGGGGAGCTTGGCTTAAGCTCCAGCATACCAGAAGGAAGAGGCTCAAACACAGGATCTGGGTAATAGACAAAGTTGGTTTTGTTGATGATCAGCAAGGCCTGGACGTTATCCATGACAAAACCGATCTCATCTGGGCGATCACCAAGTTCTGGGGGGCTCCGGACTGGGTTGTCAATGGAGGGAGCATAGCATACCATGGTGGTATCATTATGGACAGTACAGTTCTGGAAAGGAAGAAGACGCTTCTCTTAGTCCATATTCCCTCTGATTTCCAACGGAAAGGAAAACCCAATGTAAGGATGGAAATCCTGTATTTTGTCATCACATGGAAGAATAAGTTAACATTTTGCTCCTCACTAGATGAGATTAGTCTGTACCTTTACCGTTCTTGAGTAGTAATATAACGCAACAAAATGTTGCAAAAATCATCTAAAAATAATGGATGATGTGAAGTCATATTGCTTTACGGTGGTTCTATAGATACTAAAATTTAGGACGTGGATTAAGTTGAATCAGTTCTGCTGTGGAGCACCTATGCAACTGCCCTGGGAGCCAGTTCCAAGTTGGGACAGTGACCACAGTATCTGCTGATTGTGGATCGGAACCAAATCCAGGAATATATGTACTGAGATGTACTGATGTGCTTATCAATGTCCAATCAGGATCAGTGTTAGATCATGGCAGAGCACAGGAAATGAGAACAAAAGGGTGGAAAGCTAGAGTCCCCATGGGAATGATGCAATTTTCATCCTGGGGGAGTACTTATTTATCCTCCAGCAGCTCTATTTTGTTTTTGTTTTTTTAAAGTGCCCCAGCACTAGTGGTGTCCTGACAACCCCCCCCCCCCCCATGTATTTTGGTCTTGGATTCAAGTTCTGCATAAGATGGACTGCAGATTTTTTTTTTAACCTCATTCCAGATTTTCTGGTGAGCTTTTTAAAGTGCTGTTTCTCACTTAATGCATGCTACAGTATACATTGGGAGGCATACATTTTGTGGACATCCTGCTCTTGATCCAGCTTCAAATTGCATTATAGTGTCAGTATAGAACTGCCCTTAGAGATGGGGTCCAGGTTAAAGGTCATATGACACTTCTCTTAATGGTTCAATGCCAACACCCACAATACTGTGGTCAATTGTTATCATCTCACTTCTCTAACTTTAAAATAAGAGATAAAGTTTGAAAAATTACATTTCTCCCAATTACACGCATGCCCATATTGTAAGTGTAGAGCAGGCATCCCCAAACTGCAGTCCTCCAGCTGTTTGGGCCTCCAACTCTCAGAAGCCCTAACAAGCTTGTTCAATTGTCAGGAATTCTGGGAGTTGAAGGTCCAAACAGCTGGAGGGCCAGAGTTTGAGGATGCCTGGCATAGAGTAAGCCTGTGATCAGTTACACTTATTTAATTTTGCAGGGTCTGCTTGAAATTATTTCATGTTATACTTAAGTTTAAGAAAATGAATCTGACAACACTGGTACATAAGTTTTCTAGTCAAAGCTATGCTATCATGTCTGTAATGATGTCTGAACTACTGATTATATTTTGCCATACTGTTTTCATCTATTCCATTATTATCCAAAACAAGGGTATGTAACCCAGGCAAGTCCATTTTCCACTTATCTGTGGGTTTTGAGAAAGGGGATTAAGTTCTTCAACCTGTGGAATAGGAAATCGCTTTTGTTTGTTTTGGAAAGGAGGTAAAAGCACATCTGAGTGATAGAGAAGGGTAGGGGTGCAGGGCAAAGATAAATCAAAGGGAGTGTGGCTGATGTAATTCCCAACTGTTTGTTCCAGCATGACAGACACACACAAAATAGTCAAAGCTCTTTATTCCATACTAAACCTTCCAGGACAACAAACTTGAGTTTTTGCTCCACGGAAAACTAAACTAGGCCCCCCTTTTCTATGAAAATTTACTTATGGATCAAGGCAGAAGACAACAGCACAAAAGTTTTCCCTCTCCTGTACTGATTTCTTAAAGAAATTTTAGAAATAACATACTTTGAAGAGACAGGGAGAATGATCTGTTATGCTAGCAGATTCAGCAACATGGCTGGAACCAAATATGTCACTTTTCATTCTCTTGCAAAATTTCCCAATAACATGTAGTGACTTTCTCCCATGAAAAAGGGATGGATTTTATTTGGCTCTTATTAGAACATGGATAAGCCTTGTCAAGCTGAATATTCCTCTTATTTCTGTAGCTTTTCATGACATCCTTTGTTGAATATGCACAACAGATGCTCCCACCCCTGAGTGTGGAAGGTGATATAAGAGAGGAACTGTTGTATGTCGTATCTACAATCACCCCATTTAAACAGATTACTGAAGTTTCTATAGCATTATAGAAGCCTCCTGGACCACATAAAACAATAAGGAGAAAGTAGGGCATATGTATTAACTGAAAACATGATTTTGGATTCTCTTTAAAACTGCTGTCCATTTGTCAGAATGCCAAAAGCTCACTTACGTTCTCTGCCTCAGCATTGCCGTATTTGGCTCGAATCCTGGGTTCCTTAATAGTGGCCAAATTAGTGCCTGTCACAGTCAACAATGTTCCACCGCTAGAAAGAAAGTAGAAGAAAGGGTTTGGAAAACCTATAATAGAGTGTAGGCTGCGTAAAACTATTAAGACAGCTATTTCTACCCCAATGTTGTAAAAACTATATGTTGTCTCTTCTCTTCAAGTTAGGGAAAACCCAGTGTTAAGACTAACTTTGTAAAAATGAACAACTACTGAAAATGAACACTTCAGTAAATCAAACTTCCTGCTCTGAACTCTTCACACGGGACTAAAATCGGCAAGATGCGCTGGTTTAGCCCAAGTCACCCACGGAGCCCGCCAGCTCCCATCAAATGATGCTGGTGAAGCTCTGTGGGTGAAGGAGGGCAGAGCTGGTGCATGCCACTGCCATGACAACACAGGAGCCTTCCGTATTGCCACTGGAATCCATGGGGGGAGGGGGAGCCATGTGCTCCACATTTCTCTCCATCTGATCGCTCTCAGCTGGAGCTGAGCAATGTGGGACATGGGGCGCCGGGTTCCACATGCCCCTTGATGAAGTGGAGCACCTCCAGTGGCCATGTGACAAGGTCGCATGTCTAGAACATGGATTTGATGGACTACAAGCTCTTAACACATCTGCACTAACTTCCTAAAGACCACAAAGAAATGGAAATAACAAGAGAGGCATAGAAGTTGTGACCAAGACATCAGCTAGGCTTCCTTTTAATGGAAGATGCCAACCACCCATTGTCTTGTTTTGACTGACTCTTGATAGGCTTTTAGTATGGAGGATGGGATAAAAATGCTTTAAATGAATGAAGATACTTAGTACTGAGTCATGACAGTTAAAGTTGTGTCAAACTGGAATAATTTTACAGTGTAGATGTAGCCCTGCAGTTCAATCCTATATGAGATTAGTCAAAAGTAAGGCACACAGAATACAGTATGGCTTCCACTAGGTAGGTGGATTTCGAATTGTAATCTTAATGGCATTAATTAAGTGACATTATATTCCAAGATGAAATAATTGTATTCCTTCTAGTTATTATTTTCTATTGCCATCTAGTTTATTTGAAAGGATATCAAATCTGGTTATCTCTTAAATCTGGAAAGCAGATTTCATACTTATATTGTTGGAGAAAGTCTGAACCAGAAACAAAGACCTCCTGCAGTGGTGCTCAATATTTGGCCCTCCAAATGTTTTGGACTTCAGCTTCCATAATTCCTAACAGCTGGTAAGCTGGCTGGGACTTCTGGGAGTTGAAGGCCAAAACATATGGAAGATCAAAAGTTGAGAACTACTGCCCTGAAAGTTCAGGCTATGATGAATGTCTTTAAGGTACTCCAGAACTCTGTTGTGGTCTTTAAATAGAAAACTTGCAATATTCAAGAGCATGAGATATACACCCAGTGATGCAAATAATCAAATAAATGCAGATTTCTGCTTACACCACACCCCACACACTTTCTGTTGCTTCCCCCCTCCCCCCATATCTAAACAGTGCTACCTGTTGATGCTCCACTCAGGGTCTATCTTCTGAATAGTGGGGTCTTCAGTATAGTAATACATCACATCCGGACTGCTAAGTATGGCTCGGTTTATATGGATGAGGATGGGTGATTCTCCTGGAACTTGGCCAGGAGGTGTCCTGCATCGAATTTCACCAGCATTTCTCCTGTGCAGGAGAGAGGCAGAGAAAGAACCCCAAGAATTGGAAAACCAATATACATCATTTCTGCTGCCACGCAGTGGCATAATCTCTGCACTCAAAACAATGGCTGTTGCTTCTCTGTCCCTTTATCTATATAGACAATGAGAATTGAATTATTAAAGTGATATGAACAACAAAATCCTCTTTCTAAGAGCAAGGATGGGGCACCAACTGCGTATTGGGTTGTCAATGCTGGTTTTGTTGGGAACTAAAACTGCTCAAAAGAAGCATAGCATAGACTAAAGATTATCTTTTAATTATAGCAGGAGCTAATTAATATTCAAAAAACAACTGAGTCTTGTTATGGATTATAACTCCTGGGTTCACATGCAGAGAAAGGGCAGACAGGACCTGTTTGGGAAGGATTCAGCCTTGTCTCTATTCAGCTTTTCATATTTTATATCTAGAAGTAAAATGTCACTGTCTGCATATGCTATCTCCCTCTGTCTCAAGGAAGTACTGCTAAAATTATCAGTTAATACAAAAAGAATAGCAAGAAACAGCTGTCGAAGCCGGCATAGCTCTGGAGCGTTCCCCATCGTGTGGCTGCTGCAAACAGCAGCGATTAAGCCTGATAACCAGTAATTACAGCACAAAAATATTTAAAGAGCCGCTCCATTATCATCCCTAATCTAAAAATTATCCACTTCATGGCTCAGGGATTTGTGCTTTTTAGAAAGAAAGGAAATTTGCAGATTCAATGTGTCTTTTTTTGAATCTTGAAAAGGCATTCCACATCTTAACACTGGAGTCTTTGCTTGCCTCCTTAGGAGCCGCACTTTATTTTAAAGCACACATACACACTCAATATAACACACAGACTCCCAATATTCACATGGTTTGGTACATTCCTCTAATTCTGGTTCTTTTTTCTGTAGTACACAAAAACCTCACCACGAAAAGGCACATTGTTGACCACCAATGGTCACGGCGATGTCACTTCCTGCATTGAGGTGCTTTCCCTTGATGCTGATCCAAGTGCCTCCCGAGAGAGGACCACGGCCTGGAATCACTTGTGAGAAAGTAGGAGTCTGTCAAAATCAAACAAAGCAAAGTCACAGTTCAGGAAACTGCATGTGGTAATGCCTTTAAGTGAAAAAGTGGGAAAATGCAGAGTAGGAAGAGATGCTCTAGGCCAGGCATGGGCAAACTTCAGCCCTCCCGGACTTCAACTCCCAGAAATCCCAGCCAGCTTACTGTTAAGAATTGTGGGAGTTGGAAGTCCAAAAGTCTTGGAGAGCTAAAGTTTGTCCATGCCTACTCTAGGCAAATGATTAACACATGATTACCACAAAAGTGAAGCTTTTTGGAGAAACTGCCTTGTAGCTGGGAGAACAGTCTTTAACACAAACTTCTACAGGAGCATCTTGGGTTTTGCTGGGGCTGGCTTCTCCAATCTCACAGACAATCCTAAAGAAGGAACAACATATATTTTTGTAATTTATATGCCCCATGTTTGCAGAACTGTCCTAAGGATCTCAGGCTGCGTTCTAATGTCATGAAGCTGGTATTTGTCCTCTTATTTATATTAAGGACAAGTACTTTCTTCTAACATTGTCACTATACTTTGGCAGGCTGTTGTGGTTTTAATTAAATGTCATCTAACAACTTCAAGAAGTGATTTCTCAGCACATATCAAATTGGTTTTTTTTTAACAATGGGCATATTAAAATTGCTATATAGATAAAATATTACAAGTGGTGTAACACTCAACTCAGTAGGAAATCAATTATAATTCAACCAAAATAAAAAGAGAAATAATAAAGAACCCCCAATTTTCTCTCTTCTCCGACTCCTATAGCTGTATGTGTTCAAACGCAGCTGACACATGAAACAGTACAAACATTCCTATACATTTCTGGATTAGCATTTTTGATATCATTGCTATTTGCATATGAAAAGAAAGGCAGCCAAATGTTCATAAATTGATTTCTCTTATTAAATCCTCTTTTTGAACTTGCTCTGTTAGTTTATACATAATTTTTAACTAGAACAGCCTGCACAGCTAAGACGAAAGAACAAAGGAGACTACACAGAAAGAAAAGAAGTTATCCCACCAGCTGGCTAGTTAGAATTGATCAGCTTTAGATAGGGCATATATCTGCTAACATACCATTATGACTTTGTTAAGAAACTGGAATGTGTACCAAAAATATTGAGAGTGGGACTTAAAAGTTTGTTCTCACTCTGACAACCTCTGTACCCACATTCACCATTTTATAAGAGGTGTAAAATACTTCCAAATCAAAGCTCCTTATCTTGGGGCTCCTCTAGTGACTGATGTGTCACTGCTCACTACTTCCTACCAGTGAACTATAAAGCCAGAAGAGTAATTCTGACAAAAATGTCATATCGGGTTTGCCTTATCCCTTGATGTTTTCTGGAAATAAATGCAGAGGTCTATCCGGTGGCACGATTTCTTTTTTCCCAGGTACCTTTCACCCATCCTTTCTCTTTACAGAAATCAAAGAGGCACCCAAGCATTTGTCATCACACTTTGCATCCCAACACAGCCTTTGCATCAGACTTTGCATCCCAACACAGCCTGTGGGTTAGATTAGGATGAGAGGAAATTTATTCTAAGGTCAATTCACTGAACTTTATGGAAAAACAAGGAGCTTCAATTTAGGCCAAGTTCAAGCTGCTGACGCACTGCACCCAGCTGTCTCTTTCAAAGGTGATGGTAATGTTTTACCACTGTAGGACCATGAAGGATATGACTTTCTCCCTCTAAAATCCCAATAATCAACTAACAGCTAGTTAGATGAGACTAGGGTAGAATCTAGAAACATCTCTGAGAAAATAGAGTCCATGACATTACCAGATCTTTCTTCCTTACATGGGCTAACCTGCATCTATAGAATACTCACTGCTCAGCACTGATATATTCGCTCTCAATGGGAATGCATATCACTTTGCCAACCCATACACCACTGCGTACATCTTCGAACTTCAGACCAAGGTTTTCACCGATGATAGTTAAGCGAGTCCCTCCCTGACGAGGGCCCGTTTCAGGAAACAGCTAGAAAAGAACAAAGCCAGACCGTTACTAGGCTCATGAGGTGACAGTGACCAGGTAACCTACTTACATTACAATACACTTCTGCATCATCTCCAAATATTTATCAATATATTTAGATCTCTAGGTCTCCAGCCATATTGCAATTAAGAATAAACTAATATCCAGAATCTAAACTAAAATAAGATTATAATTCAGGAGGCCAATTCCGACTCTGTCAAAACAGGTTGTCATTATCCCTTTTATAAAGATAGCTAGTGCATTATTTACTAATGCATTATTTGGTGCCATTTCAGACTTTGCTTCCCTATCCATAACAACGCTAGATATTTAGACCATGTGCATGAGAATATAGAGTTCTAGGGATTTTTCATAGCAACAAGCAGAACTGAAACCTCAAGCACCCATCTTCTTGTAAAAAAGCAAGAGAGAGATAACTGTAACACACTGCAAATGTTCGGGCTAATGGCTCCAATGTATAAGTGTAATTCAGGTCAGTAAACCACCCATTGTTTCTGCTTCAAAAGTAATGCACACAAATAGCACTCTGGCATTCAAATGGAAATGTGGAACTTTTCTGCCTTGCGTGGGTTTGCTTGCAATCCTTGTACTGGACTGTCCTTCAGGTTAGCGCAGCGTGTCCTCTCTGACATTTTGTGGCCATTCTCTTTGCTCASCCTTGGGCATTCATTTAGAGGCTACTATTTCTCTTTCACAATGTGAATTAACACAGAGAAAATCACCCTTCCTAAGTTTTTCCGACAAAGGAGATACTAATTAACCTTTACAACCTGGGTCTTCTCTTCCCATTCCAACTCTGGTGCTTCCCAGCTTACAGGTTTCTGCCAGCACCAGCTGGGAAGGGGGAGAAGCCCCAGCAGAGCACGATATGCCTCATTTCTTAGGATGATTTCCAATGAAACAGACAGGTGTGGCTTGACATACACCAGCATGATGACAGATGAGCAATGCGGCATGGGCCCACCATTGCCACTAACAAGGTAATTATGGGCAATTTTACACCAGAGTTTGCTGGCCCTGGGTGCTTGGCACACCTCTGCCAATGATAAAGAGGATTAATAGTATCCAGCTGAGAAAGTTCTGTGTTGGGTCACTGGCAACCCTAAGCCAAAGAGATTCCAAGAAAAAGAGGCCCCACAAATGGCTACCAGCCATGAATAGGAATAGGATAAATGAGCATGCAAAATCTCATGTTGAGTGTCCTTAGCTAGCCTACCAGTGTAACCTAGAACTCTAGATACAGCTTGTATTGTGGGACTAATATAACAAAATGATCAAGACAATACACTAATGACCACCCAATACTGTTTACAAAGAAAATGCCTCAAGAAATACATAGGGTCTGGCTATGGTGCAGGAGAAATAGCTTCTGTCACTGTGATATAATCAGTGAATAACTTTGATTTTGCACAGATTGTACTCTTATTGCTACCATTATTACTACTACTATTATTTTCATGCTGTTTTTCAGGAAAAAACTCAAGAGATATATGGAATAATTGGCATCAACAAGGATGTCACCAAAAAGAGCAAGTAAGTCAGGGTTTTTAGTTGGGGTTTTTTTTTGTATTTGAGCACTTTTGCAAAATTTTCAGAAATATTGGTTTTTGTGGGAAAAATGCTTTGCATAGGATACAAAATGTTTTACTTAACACTTCAACATTCAATAGTTAAATAAGCTGTCAGCATTTAAGGGACAGTTGAAGACCTATCTCTTCTGGCAGACCAATCCAGTCCATTTTTAACTATGAATTTTAAGGTAACGTCCTATGTCTCTTGTATTTTAATCTTTGTTCTGTGTATTTTCATATGAAATAGGTTTTAATATATGTATTTTACTGAATGTTTTATGGTGATATGTCTTTAATTATTTTGTGTCCCACCTGTGAGTAGGGGCAGGGAAGAAATGAATTGTTGTTGTTGCTGTTGCTGTGAAGACTTACTGTTTTGGGCAAAAAAAAGTTGCACAAATAATTAATTTTTTTCCAAAAGAAAAAATGCAGGGTTTTTTTTAAAAAAAATAGCAAGAGTTTTTTTTTGAAATCAGAAACAATACATACAAAAATATAATCTATTATCTGTGATTCTCAACCTGTGGGTCCCCAGGTGTTTTGGCCTACAACTCCCAGAAATCCCAGCCAGTTTACCAGATGTTAGGATTTCCGGGAGTTGAAGCCAAGCTCCATCAAGAGAAAGGAAATAAATTCTGTAAAGAGAAAATAACAAAGTAACACAGATACATTTTCTCTAGTTGCAGGGGGCGGTGGACAAACAAAGAGCATTTAAATCTATATTGCTAACCAAGGCGGTAACATCAGACATAAAATACATTTACTTTTTCATTCTTTAGATAATGCCTTATAAATGCCATAATGCTGCATTGATCAAGCTCCCAGAATAACTTGCTGCTGAATGACCCATAGCTGAGGCACTAAGAGGTTGTGGCTTGCCCAAAGTCAACATGGATCAGGAATCCAAAGCCCACAGACTATGTTTCTATCCTTGCTTTCTGACTTACAAGCCACTCCACGAGTTAACAGACATGAAGGCCTTGGGCAATCACATGCTACACTTCTGAATTCATATAACAGTCAAACTGATTTGAGCTTTGGGGTTTGCTGCTCGCCTAAATTCAATGCAATCATCTGCTAAAGTCCTGGATCAGAACTCATTAAAGCGGCAGCTGCAGCCGGCAGCCCAAGTCATTCTTTCCAAATTGGGCTCCTCTGGGGTGCTTGGTGAGCTGTGGCTGTTTGTTTGGTATTGTTAAATTAGTGTTAAAGGCTGCCGTGGCATGTTAGATTTCCCCTCCACTGCTGCAAAACTGACAAGGGCCACACGTTTGGGGAGCTGCAGCTCTTGGTAAAAGTCAACACTGCTTGACACACTGTGTGGGGAGGTCACCATTAAACAAGGCACTTGAGAGACAGAGTTTGCAGAGAAATCTGGCTCTTTCTTGAACTCCTCTCCACACACAGAGGTGCCCACTATAGCTTCAGTCTCAGCAAACAACAAACCTCTTTTGCTAATTGGTTTCAGAGCACAAACTCTTCAAATCTGCCAAATGAACTGGACTCAATTTCTAACCATGCCCGAAAGATGAGGTAATGAATCATAGGCTAACCAGCTTGGCCATTTGATCATTTTGTTTTGGAATGACTCCTATCTCCTTGCATACATAGCATTCCAGATGAAAATGTGCCTCTGAAATGTAGACTGGAATGCAGATTGAAGATACAGATGTGGGTGGGTACCATGAAAATTATTTTTATGCATGAGGCAAGTTCTGAAGAAGAGGCTTTCAAAGATTAAATAAAACATGTACTAGTAAATCTTTGTATGATGTATTTCACCCCATTTCCCAAGTGCATTCAATTGGAACAGCAAAGACAAACTTTGGATCAAATGTTGGGAGTGTAGCATCATGCTATCATTTCTTAAAATAATTCTTTTAAGAAATGATAGCTTCTGTATTTTTTTATCCAAAATGCTTAGGACCAGAAGTGTTTTGGATTTCAGATTAATGTTTTGTTTGTTTTGTTTTGGATTTTAAATATCTGTATTTGCATATGTGAACATATTGAGATATCTTGGAGAGGTAAGTCTAAAGATAAAATTCATTTATGTTTAATATACACTTTATAGTCTAGAAAAAATATACAATATTTTAATATTTTTTTGCATGAAACAAAGATTGTGTACATTAAACCTTCAGAAAGCAAAGGTTCACTATCTTAGCCACCCATATCTACAATTTAAGATTCTGGAGTATTTCCAATTTCAGATTTCCAGGTAAGGGATACTCACTCTATACTCACTCTATATTATTATTGTAGATAATAATAATAATACATTTCATTTATTACCTGCCTCTCCTGATAGTTTGAGGTGGGGTACAAAAAAGTTTTTAAAAAATGAATATAAAAAATACATGACATGACATGACATGACATAGATAAACACACACACACACACATATGAGAACACTTATACCAAACACAGATACAGAACTGACATATAATGGTAATAGAATGTAAATTAGGGTAGGCCTGCCAGAAGAGATGGGTCTTCATTGGCATTTTAAATTTGACACCTTCTTCAGGTGTCGGAGATCTTCCAGCAGGTCATTCCACAGTCTTGAGATTCTGGCGGGCTGGAGTAAATGCCCCCCAGAGGACCTCAGTGTCCTAAAACCTTTTGTGCAAGAGAAGGAGATCCTGGTAACCTGGACCCAAATCATGTAGGTCTTTAAAGGCCAAAACGAACACTTTGTACTTTGCCCAGAAACCAATTGGCAGCCAGTGGAGTGACTATAGTATAGATGTAATAGGCTCACTCTAATCTGGCTGCCATATTTTGAACTAATTGGAGTTTCCGAACTTGGTACAGAAGTAGCCCAATGTATAGCACATTGCAGAAGTCCAGCCCTGAGGTTACCGGGGCATGCACTATCATCATTAGGTCCCCAAATCTAGGAAGGGGTGCATCTAGCATAACAGCTGAAGCTGGTAGCAAGCACTCTACCTCATTTGGAGAGACAGATCCAGGAGTACTCCCAAGCTGCAAACACAGTCTTTCAGGGGGAGTATAACCCCACCTAGGACTGGTTGACATATCTCCATTCCTAGGACTGTTGATGGCAAGCACCTCTTTTGGCCTGGATTCAGTTTCAATTTGTTTTCCCCCATTCAGCCCCATTACCTCCTCCAGGCATTCATTCAAAGGAGACACGCTATCTTTAGCTGAGACTGTTTTTGAAGGCATAGAGAAAAATATTTCTGTATCATCAGCATACTGATAGCACCCTGCCCTATGTCTCCGGATGATCTCTCCCAGTGGTTTCATATAAATGTTAAAAAGTATTGGTGTTAGAATGGCCCCTTGTGGGATGCCATAGAAGAGACCTATGAACAACCTCTGAGGATGCCTGCCATAGATGCAGATGAAACGTCAGGAGAGAATGCTACTCAAACATGGTCATACAGCCTGAAAAACTCACAGCAACTCAGGAACAGATTTGCAACAGAAACTGACTGAAGAAGAGTTGAGCTTTTTGCTCAGTGCTGGTTAGCAACACTTACACACTCACAGTAAACAGCAAGAAGCAAGTTGCTGTGGAGAACATGAGTGCAATTACACTTACTTCCTATCTTCCTCAGAGAAGACAATGAAATCCAAATATAGTATGTAAATGCTCTGGCCATTAATGTCACTAAGACCTGACAGTTCTGCAATCTATGGATAAACAGAAGGACAGTTGCTTATTTGTAATGGTGGTTCTTCATATGGTCATTTCTGAACTCACACAAATGGACTATCCTGAACTTGTCAACTGTACATTTGGAAATTTCTAGAAATAATTTGTCCTTTAGGTTGGCAACATGCTTCCTCCACCATGCACTCTCAAGTAGGATAACTCACAACAATCCTTGTCAATGTACTTGGTATCTAACCCACCAGACGTGATCATGAACACCCATAATCTTATTAAATGACAGTTGTAACAGTTGTTAGATAAGAGGGATATGCCAATCCTAAAGAGGATGAAAACAAGGGTTGTCTAATTCTGAATGGAGAAAGAAAGAAAAAACCCAGCACGGAAACAAAGAAATAACGATCTCTACAATCTTCCTTGCTATGGTAAACTTCACCACTCAGCCTTACAGCAAAGACAAAAGGCAAAAAAGCATCGGAGTGTATTTGAGACATATTCCCTGCCCTGTAACAAACTCCTTGTAATGAAGCAGGTCAAAATTCACTTCCATCCACTTTAAAATGTGGACCTCTAGTCATCTGAGAGTATTTACCAGCTCTGACCAATAAACTGCCATGCCCATCAGTATCAATTGAGACTACTCAATTTCCATTCTAACCAAAGAGAGTAAGAAATGTCACAAACAGAAACTAGATGGAAAGAGGAAATACATCATTATGGTTAGGAAAAGAAGCTAGCCTAATTCTAATTGATGAATTGCATTCTCTAGATCTCCACTGCAAGCACCTTTGCATCATCCCAACAATAGCACAATGGTGACAGGACTTATGTTATCCAAGGGATACACATTCTGCATGTTCCTGTTCAGTGAGCACTCATGGATCAGTGGGAAAAGAGGCTCCTTGCAAGATTATGGAGTTGAAGAAAGAAAGGAATCTTCTAGAAGTGAAATGAGCTGGAAGAAACCTAAGAAGAGTCAAGGGCTTCTATCTATAGGACAGAATCTCCAACTGCAAGTAACATTACATTTTACAAGACTACTATGTACATCAGAAACTGTGGGTCATCCTACTCGTGCTTTAAATACTCCAGAAATTCCAATGATCTTCCAACATGGTCAACCTCGCCCCCTTCCAAAACCTTCTACCCGGCCACCCCACACAAGCTTACCTTAGTGATTTTGGGGTCTGCGCAGCGGCTATTGCCATTGCTGGCATGCATCCAGCTGCTCTCAGGGGCTGGGCAGTGCTGGCGCAAGGAACATCGCTTTTCGGACACACACCAGCCACACTCAAAGCGTGGATCTGCCTTGAGACATAATCCACAGCTTTCACGGAGAGCTGAGCACTTGTATAAGTGAGCTGCAAAGAAAAAGCACAGGTCCCTGCTTAAATTAAATGGTAGCTGTGTTGAACAAAATATGTTTAATTTATATCCTGCCTTTTTTCCTAGCATAGGATGCAAGGTTGCTTACAACAAATTAAAAGCAAGTACACTTAAAACTATACTGATTTTTTTTTAAAAAAATACACAATTAAATTTTAAAAACACCAAGGGAAAGTGGTTTAGACAATATTTGCAACACAGAAGAAAACATAAAGCCACACCACACCCCATTAAGACTCTTCTGCCACAATGAGTTAAGAGCCAAAGTCCTGCCTAAATAAAAAGGTCCTTTGCCTGCTGGCAGAAAGAGAGCAGAGAGGTATTTTAAATTTTAGCTGTATTTTAAATTCATATTCATTCAAAAATATTGAATTTGGTTTTTTTTAATTTTGTATTTGCTTTACTTTAAATTTGTATTCGGTTGTGTCATATGATTATTAGTAGTCTTGGGTCCCTATTAGGAGAAAGACAGGATAAAAATGATGATAATAATAATAATAATAATAATAATAATAATAATAATAATAATAATTTTTATTTATATTCTGCCCTATCTCCCTGAGGGAACTCAATAATAATTCAAGGCACTTATTGTGTATACACTTGCTCTATCTACCCACCTTGAAAGATGTGCACTTCTAAAGTTGTCATTATTCACAGCTCATAGAAGCTATGTTAATAGAATAATCTAGAACGTGATTTCAACAAAAGTGTGTGGACTTAAGTCTCTTAAGAGTTGCTGAGTTCTGGTAATGCTTATAAAAAGACATCACACTACATAGAAAATGTTTCTGAGTAAGATTATTTCATTCAGGTTGCAATATTTCTTGCTAGGAAGGAAGGAAGGCAATGGATAGTGTATGAAAGCAATTACTTTCAGATTGCCTCTTCCAAACTTTGCTCTGCTTCAATAAGATGCTTTGCTCAAATTGGCAATATATTTGGCTTTTCACTCCCAGGATTTATTGGTTAGAGTCTGGCCCCCATAGCTCATCAGTTCACCAAGGGAGGCCTCTTGCTATACCCAAGGGGATTTCTCACCTCACCCTTCTCGTGAAATCATCTCACCTTGGATGTTCTGGGGATTGTCGATGATGAAATTTCCATTCCACACCACAGAAAGGTTCACTGGGAGGTCACTAATGTCATTCCCTTCATAGAAATACTGTCAGGAGGAGAAACACAAGAGGGCAGAGGTTCCATTAGTCATTCTTACAGACATAAGAACAGATTGAAAAGGAGATTTGGACCAGAAACGAGAAGGTGGCTTAGCAGTGTTGTATTTATTCCAAGTGCACCCATTTCTATCCAGTAATGGGAGGAATGAGTGCATACCGAAAACAAAAAAAATCTCACTAGAAACAAAAATGTCCCAATTTTCAGGGACACCCCCTCCCCAAATGCAGGCAAGCCTAATCTTTATTTTTATGGTAGCCACCTAGAATTCTGCGAGATGGAAGGAAGGGAGGAATATTTAAATTTGGACTTGGTTCAATGCTCATCACACTCTCTCCTTGTCTTTATGAACTATGCCTTTAAAAAAGCTTGAATTTTTACTCATCGTGTTACAAACATTAAAAAGAATAGGTTCTTGTAGGTTTTTTCGGGCTATAGGGCCATGTTCTAGAGGCATTTCTCCTGACGTTTCGCCTGCATCTATGGCAAGCATCCTCAGAAGTAGTGAGGTCTGTTGGAAATAGGAAAATGGGTTTATATATCTGTGGAATGACTGGGGTGGGGCAAAGAGCTCTCTGCTGAAGCTAGGTGTGAATGTTTCAGCTGACCACCTTCATTAGCATTTGAAGGCTTGGCTGAGCCTGGGAAAATGTTCTGTTGAGAGGTGTTAAGATGTGCCTGGTTGATTCCTCTCTGCTGTTTGGCTGTAGTAATTTTAGAGTTTTTTAATACTGGTAGCCAGATTTTGTTCATGTTCATGGTCTCCTCCTTTCTGTTGAAATTGTCCCCATGCTTGTGGATTTCAATGGCTTCTCTGTGTAGTCTGACATGGTGGTTGTTGGAGTGGTCCAGCATTTCTGTGTTCTCAAATAATATGCTGTGTCCAGGTTGGTTCATCAGGTGCTCTGCTATGGCTGACTTCTCTGGTTGAAGTGCTCTGCAGTGATGCTTGCCATGGATGCAGGCGAAACGTCAGGAGAAATGCCTCTAGAACATGGCCCTATAGCCCGAAAAAACCTACAAGAACCTAGTGATTCCAGCCATGAAAGCCTTCGACAATACAGTAAAAAGAATCATCACTTGAATAATTTATTTGGGTTACAGACACCCAACTCCACTTGGTACTAAAGCTGTGTGCCTGAGTGTAAAATGTGCATTTCAAGATCAGAACTGACACACATCCAAGGATTTTTCAGGTTTTCTCCAATAGTGCATGACCATAGTATTTTCACTATATAGGTAGTGAAAATTACATTTATTTTGATTCTAATCAACACTCTTATCCAGGATGTTGCAAAGCAGTTACTTCAATGAGAGAAAGTCACAGAGCGTTTTCTGATGGGTTGTAACTTAGTCCTCAAACTAAGGCCTGGGGGCAGGGTATGGCCCTCCAAGGTCATTTACCCGGCCCTCGCTCAGGGTCAACCTAAGTCTGAAAATCAGGCCCACACTTCCCACTGAAATACTAATAAGTTTATATTTGTTAAAATTGTTCTTCATTTTAATTATTGTATTGTTTTACAGTATTTTTTGCACTACAAATAAGATACATGCAGTGTGCATAGGAATTCATTCATGGTTTTTGGGTTTTTTCCCCCTCAATTATAAGCTGGACCTCCAACAGTTTGAGGGACTGTGACCTGGCCTTCTATTTAAAAAGTTTGAGGACCCTTGGTATAACCTAAGCAAGAGCTACATCTGAAACAAAGCTAGCAGATTCTGCTCTTCTGCACTGGCAATATTGGATTTTGCCTTCGGTTTGGTAAGGAAAAGGAAGTTCCCTTAGAGGAAATGAAAATGTAACAGGTCTAAGGCCTTTGGGAGGGATGATTCAGTGAGACATGATTTTGGAAATATATCTTCACGAGACCTCTCACTCTGCCTATCCAGGGAAAGAGACACCCAATCTACATCCCAGGCCCGACTTCTGGCAGCCTCATCAATATTCCCTCCACAGTCCCTGCACACATGTGGAGGCTTAATCGATATGAAGACAGGAAGGCAGTCGGAACCTTCCCTGACAGCTAATGACCTCCTTTGGCGAGAGATTCTCCGCTTCTCTCTGGAGAAAATGACAGGCGTGTCAGGAGAGATTAAATGAAAGATTCATGGCTTGCTGGAGTTTGTTAGGGACCTATGGGAGATACAGAATCGGCTCTCCCTGTGCCCGTGGCATCTCTCCCTCTCTCAGCCTTGACACCGAGTCGTCCTTTACAGCTTATGACATGCAGAAAGAGGAGGGCGGCATGTGTCTTCCTCCCCCTGACACGTATTCTCAGTCTCCACCCCACCCCATGAATGAAGGGCCCAGCTTCCATTCCTTAGGTTCCTCAGTGGTTCTTTTGCATGAAAATCATTAACGGGCAAAACAATGCCTGAAATGATCCCTGTTTAGCATTCTCACAGTAATACAGGACTAGCATGTAATACAGAACGTACAACAAAACACCATAAAAAGATGAGCTCCTGAGAGTTGACAAGTCCGCTTCAAGTATCTCAGCAAATAATTCCATAACAAAAAACCTTCATTCCTTTACAAATTATGAGAAGTTATGTTTACATCAGGCCTTTTGAATTCTGAACAGTTCAACACAGACATCACTGTTTGAATGCCATATCAGAAACACTTATTCTACCCCTGTGGCATTCACTGTGTACAATATTCCCTGCCAGTAAAATCGTGCTGTCTAAGAACAGCATTTGAAATTTGCACAGCAATTCTGAAGCAGGAACCAAGAGAAATACATCAGCCAAACCTCCCATTCATTGAATAATATATTTATTTAATATATTTTATGCTGCCTTTTAATTTTCCCTGGGCAGTACACGTCTTTAAAAATGCAAACACTAGAAATGCCTGTTAAAACGTAATGCCATCATTTCAAGGCAAACAAACTAATGATAATAACTGGACAAGATCTTCGTTGACTACTTTCTGCAAAAGGTTGTTCTCTCAGAAGTCACCAATGGTGTAATAGCTGTACTATGTTGGCTGTCCTGTCAATGTACTATTCTAACCATGACCTGAATTCAAGTTCCTATATTTGATTACTACAATTTTAAGTTAAGCTGAAATGATCCTGTTTAATTGCTCTATTCCTATGCTATTATATGCTCTATCCACCTTATTGACCAGCCCATCCTTTAACTTGTTTCACACATTGGCCCCCTCCCTCCCCCCAAAAAATGAGACTAGAGGTTATCTCTGTTGTTGCTTATGATGCTTGCTTATCATTGTTTATGCTGTTTTATGCTGTTTAAATTTGTTACTGCTCTGTTTTTAATTGTATGTTGCCTTGGGCTTGGCCCCATGTAAGCCGCCCCGAGTCCTCTCGGGGAGATGGAAGTGGGGTAGAAAAATAAAGTTGTTGTTGTTGTTCTTCTTCTTCTTCTTCCTCCTCTTTCTCCTCCTCCTCTACTCCTCCTCTACTCCTCCTCCTCCCTCCTCCTCCTCTTCTTCTTCTATTCAAATACACTGAATATTCCATTCCATTATTACACTAAAATTATAGTATTATGATTCTACTTTAACAGGCATGGCAAGATCCTATGGAACTCTGGAGTTTGTAGTTTGTTGAGGCACAAGCCCTCTGATTTAAATTCTCAATAACCTATTCCCTATACTACAAATCCCAGTATTCCACACAATGTTGGGATATAGCTGTAAGCTAATCTGGAAATATAGCACAGTAACTATGAGCACCTCGTGTTAGCAGTACACGAAGTCGTTCCCAGAAGCTGTTCTCAAAAAGATGATTCCCTTGAATGGAATCACATACAGGCATGTGCAGTACCTGAATCCAGACAGAGTACAGATGAATGGAAGCATAATAACGAATATAAACTTATACCAATAATGTCTATATACAGCACACACATTAAATATGAATCACTAGGACTTGAAGATAACTGATGTTTGTATAATGTGGTACACACAGAGGTGGGAGAGAGCGCCTGCATCTGTTCTTATCCTACTAATTTGAGATAGGCTGGAAAAAACACACTAACCCAAGGAAGTCGGGCACATTTACATTAAGGAGAAGCACCCATCATCCAGTAAGAGGGAAATGTGGGGGAAGGGGTGGCAGGAAAGGATTTAGCTGTGACGAGCAGCGTGGCAGCATAAGTGAAATTGGCATTTTCAATTTGTACTCTGACATGTCTCATTTGGGGCCCTGGCATCTCAGGAAGGCATACAGCCTGCAGCTGTCCGAAACACTTATTTGCATTTCTCTGCCCTGGATCCTTTTGGAAATTAGTTCCTTCTCAAATGGGAGGAGGTACAGGGTGCGTGGGAGGGAATGTATTATTTAACTCTTCCAATACCTGACCTGATAAAAGCAACTCACACCCATGAGAGGGATGTGTGCATTTTGCTTCAGGTAGTACAGGAGAGATTTCTTCCAGGCAGTAAATAAGACATATGGAAGATCTACAGCAAAGTACTGCACAGGTCATGAGGTGTTTCCAATGAGGGGTCGCAGTCATAACTATTCAAGGCAGGATTTTGAAGCTACTGGGCACACTACCAAAATTCACAGAAATGACCTGAAGGTTCTTCAAAACAGCTTTAGTTCCAGTTGGTTTTGTAAAATATGCATGCAGACTAAATCCAACTAAATTCAAGGAGGTGTATAATAAAAGAGTAGGACAAACAGTAAAAATACATCATAAAACACATGGGTAACTATCTTGACATTTAACCTCTTTGTTGCTGCTGCTATGTGTCTTCAAGTTGTTTCTGATCTATGACAACCCTAAGGTGACCTACAAAGGGTTTTCTTGTCAAGATTTGTTTAGAAGAGGTTTGCCAAAGCTAAAATAGTATTCCAATAGGCCAGGATCCCAATGGCTATCTAGGGGGCATGAGGCCTCATTGCTTCTACGCCATAATAAATTCAGAAAACATTTAAGATTTTATACTCTCAGCCCACCCCCTGCTCCACATGTCCAGAAAAGTCATACATTTTAATGAAAAAAGAAGTGGGC